TTGTGACCACATTTTAATAAAAAAAAAAATTCTAAATCGGCATACTATTGACGGAATTTAAGGTAACAAACATAAAAAAAAAATTACAATCCAATTGAGGACCTCTTCTTTTGAACGTCGGTTGATAATTATAACAAACATTTCGCCACCAGGATCAAATGAGTGATCAAAAGGCTGTTACTTCCTTGCCCCTTCCGGGAGATCCTCTTGTTACGGCTCATGAATAAAGTCCCTTATTCAAAGGAAATTTCATCTTTTTGTCACTTCAGTACCCACTGCTCTTCTCTGTAAATACGGTTCACCGATTTTATGTAATACAAATAAGCGTATTTGTAATGTATATATATATATATATATATATATATATATATATATATATATATATATATATATATATATATATATATATAACAACTTATTGTCAATTAGAGCAAAGAAAACTCTCGATGTGTCGTATACATTGATAATTTTATATATCCACATATATCTGAATACATACTTATATGTATGTATTATATCTACTTGTAAGTATGTATTACCATCATATGGATCATATGGTCCCGTCATAGAATTCCACTTCTTCCTTTTCCATGAGTGTCGTAAGAGATAACTAAATGAACTTAATGATCGAGATATTGGCAGCAGCTTCCCCCTTAAAACATCACTAAAGCCTAACTGCGATTACTGACTCACCTGCCAATCGTGACAACTACTGACAAAACTCCTCTTATGGTAGGTCGTCAGCTTGTTTGCCATTCTAAGGTTAAAAAAAAACTCAAAGACATTTTATAAATTATTTAATAGACCGAAGGCGCTTACTATTCGTTACCTAAAATTAACGTAAGTGTAGTTCTAGAATAAAGGGTATCCTATATAATTAAGAATTAACATAATTTTAGGACAGAACATGAAGTCCGGTACATCGGGTGTGTGTTTAAATACCCTTAAAAATATTAAATAAAAATACTTGTACTTTATTAGTGATGCGCTTAAATTTAAATTTAGCACATTACATAACATTTCATTTTGTATTTGGATTGTATTAATTGAACGAACAACCAAGAAAGAGTTGTGATAACTTTAAATATAAATACATTATATTAAATTCTATGTTAATATTATAAATACACAAGTAACTGACGTGAATTGATGAAAAGTGAATAACGAAGGGTAAATCAGTACCTCATCTAAAATTCCATATGCTGTTAGACAGCTGTCCGCTAAGTTAAGGATCACGTGTTGGGTTCGTACTCGTATATCAAGATTTAAGCAAGAAATCTGATATTCATCTTAGGTAAGTTATCGAGGAGTTTATAGTAAAATTAAATTGAGTAGATACCGCACGATATTGTTCATTAAAACCCTTTAAATTTAAAGATGTTTCTTATTTTTATTTTTAGTAATCGAGTTGAATTGTCGCGTAATATATTATACGCATTTAACTTTAATATTATAAAAAAAAATGTTCCAACCTAATGTGGCATAACTTGGTATGATAATAGTATTATCTATTGCCGTAATGTGAGTTGGAAATGAATAACGAATATTATTTAGTATAAAAATAAATAAGCAATGGCAATCAAACGATCCGTCACCGTTTTCCAAGAATTCTTGCGACGCCAGGAGTAATAGATGAACGAAATACACAGATTACAATTCATATAATTGTATTTATAGATGCAAAAGCAATTGTATATTTGAATCTTTAATGTTGAAAATGAAAATACCTGGTATTCTTTGAATTGAAAATATACGGTCTTACTGTATTATGGTAATAAATCAGTAATGCAGTTGTATTAAGCCGTTTTTACAGTTCAGTTATTTATACTTGTTGCGTGAGATCTGAAGTAAATAATGTGGCTTTTCTGCCTTAAAATTGTAAATTTTCCATTAATTGTGAAAATTAGCTATAAATCCATTATTTTCTGTTATGCACTGTTGACAGTTTCTCTTTTTAAGTAGGTTTTCTTCTTACAATTAAATATTATTTTTGTTTTATCTTACGGCGACTTAATCGTCATATAATGTGAAATAAACTACTTTTATGCTGGTTTATCAATATTATACTATATTACCAGTAAACGAAATCGCGGGTATCGAAATTAAGCTTAAACCTTAAGCTATTGAGCTAGGTAAAAATTAATGCCGTGTGGTCCCGGCATAAAATGGGCCACTCTTTGCTTTCCCGTGGGTGCCGTAAGAGGCGATCAAGGGAACTTAATGGTACAAGGATGGGCAGCAGCCTTTTGTTTTAAAATATCACTATACTAACTGCTACGGGTAACCCTAACTGCGGTTGCCAACCCGCCTGCCGAGCGTGGTAACTACTGGCAAAACTCCCTTTATAGGGAAGGTCTATGTTTAGTAGTGAACAGGTAACGGCTGATATAATAAATAATAATAATGAAATCTTAACATATCATATAAAAATCTTGTTATAGTAATCAAAGAAAACACAAATTTTACTTAATAAAAACATTTTAAATCAAACGTAGAAATGATAATATTTAGTTTCGCAATAACTTGCGGGATAGAACATATGGTTTAGTCACATCCAAATTCACAAATTTAAAGCAATGTTGTTCTAACAGATTAGGTTAAAATTAAATTAAGATTTGTCACGTTTGATTTACCCAAATTAGTGGACAACCCTTTGGGACTTATATTCGTTTAAAACTTATGAATATTCAGGTAGCGATAGGTTTGAATAAATGTTAGAACAACCGTGACATTGGAGAATTCACTTCAAACATTTAAATACCGGATAAAGTATAGCAAGTCAATTGATTTAGATACGTGACTTCATTGTTTCTTTGCATTTTAAAATACTTTTTAATCGGTGATAGATTAGCTGGTGGATCGTTTGGTTTATGGTCTTAGTTCAAACTAACCATAACAACAATTTTTAACTAACTATATATTTTTTTTTCAAATATAGTCTTATGCTTCGTACTCCGGAATGTGTATAAAGCCATACTTCAGCAAGCTAACGGCAGAGCAGTCATGTACAAATGTAGTAATGTACAAATGATATAACATAAGTAAGTTCTCACACAAAACATATTCACAATTCACAAATCACACATAATTAGTTGTAATGTATATATTCTAAAACATAATATATTTTTTTAATAAAACATACCAAGTAAGTTAGCATACGAATTTACTACTTGTAGTCTTTAAATTAAATGCTATGTAATGGGATGTCCTATATAAACTTAATTAAGTTATATAACTCACACCTCACCTCACAGTCACACCTCACCTCATATTCACAGAATAACTTACACCCTGTAGGAATTAGTATAAACTAGTTTACTTTCTCAATTAACTAAACTAAAATCAAACGAGTGACTCCAATTACGTGCCTTATCATTGCGTTGCATAGATGTTTTAAAACGATTTACAATTAAAACTTTGTTATACCAAAAGACAATCTTAGGTACCCGGGGAAGGTGTTATATCATAAATTACTATATGTAAGTACTAAATAGAAGTTAGACGCTATAAGGAAGATTGGATGGATGTGTGTGGTCGCATAAATTGGTGTTTAACAAGCTCAAGGGACCGGCAAAGTTTATGACTTCTCTTAAGTTTTGTGGTAAAATCTGACTGTAATTAATACTTTTATAATACCTATTTATCTATATAGTATTTTCAAACCCATATACACTACATTCTCACTAAAATTATAAATGTGAAGGTGAATTCGTTATATATACATATAGTGTACATAGAATGGGCTCAATTGCTATATAATTCTCATATTTCCTTTCGCCAGCAATTATAAAACAAGATCTTACATAAAGGGCTATCGTTAATTGCTTTTGAAATATAATATTATAAAATATTAGATACCATGGTAATATGTAATTATACAATTACAACTAGTATTTATTTCTTCTTAGTGGTTCCAATATCTACAGTTTTATTTACTTATTTATTTTTAAAGTATATGTACTAATTTTACCTGCGACTTCGTCTGCACAAACTTTATATATATTGACCAGGATAAAAAAAGCTTATAATCTCCATCCCAGATACTACATATATTTTTATTATTTATGTAAAGAAAGGGCTACATGATAATTTCTTAAGGCACTATAAGGTGACACAAATACTCTCGCACAATTATAATAGTAAATATAATAATTCAGTTAATACAATGAGAATTAAATGAGAAATGAGAAAAAAAAAAAGAAAAAAAAAAAAAAAGTAATTCAATTGAGTTTCTTGCCAGTTCTTCTCAATTGGATCTATATACCAAACTGGACGGTAGGGTAAATATAAAATTATAATGTAAAAATTTGACGTTCATAAGCGGCTAAAATGTCCTACATGAATAAATGATTTTTGAATTTTGAATTGTAAGTAAATTAGTACCTTACTTTGTTCAAATTATTGTAATTTTGCTTTTACTGTTATAATAAAATTATATATATATATATATACGTAGGTATATTAAATTTTCTATTGCCAGCCATAAAGTTTCAAGTCCCCGAACGGTGCTGTGCATCTCTCAGTAAGATTATTATTTCGCCTTCGAACGCTCACGCAATGATAACTTTCGTTTGTTGTTCGTGTACTTCACTGTACTTATTAAAAGTCAGTTTCCTATACAAATTGAGTCAAACAATTGAGGCGTCAATATACATTCAACTCTGTCTGTATTGTTTAAATATGAGAATACTTATTCAATTTCAATTTTGTTTTACAAGAAAAATTATTTCAACCAATTGACGAAATTTTCTTTTTTTATGAATTCCAAAGTTCCTGTGGCACGTGGAGATTGGCGCCCTCCCATATTTCATGGCCGTTTTAATGATATACATGAAGGGTGATAATTTTTATATGGCCCAAACAACGACCAATAGCCAGAATTATCTACAAGTGAGTAAAAACTTTCTGCCTATCTCGTCTTAAAAACATTCCATGAATGTGTTCTTGCAATTAGGCAATTGTTAATTTTCTCTCACTAATTATTTTTTTTTTTGTTACAGATCATCTGCAATAAAAACATAAAGGTATGTGTTTCATGCATATTATTTTCAGTAAGTGTTACGTGTCAGGGGCCCATTATGTAGTAACTGTTGGGCGCGGTGCGATCGCATTATCGTATTCAGACAAAATTAAATCAATGCCCCTTCCCACTCTCGACTGAGCAGAAAAAGGTCAAATTAATGACATAGTTAATTATTCTCCAAGTGGTAGCTAATCGGGTGGTGGAATTACGTGTCCGTTTTAAATTATAATACCAGACTTCATTTAAGAATTATATTCGTACGTTAGAAATTTTTGTGTGGGTTAAAGTTTTATTTGTCATTTTTTTATGCTTTACCAAATGAAATTTATCTAAAATATTTTGGTAATAATTTAAAAGTGTGACAAAAAATTTGTATATACAGAATTTTAACAGTTCAGCTACATTAATAAGATTTTTTCACAATAGGCCAATATATCAATAAGTAAATAATCGATAAAGAAAATGTTTATAGGTAGGATAATAAAATTATATAATAGAAAGGAGTCCTACATACTGGTATGATAATGTTAAATAACAATACACAACAATAACATAAATAGCTAATAGAGACCTTTGTTGATTACTATGACTTTACTTGGTAACATACATATGTCACGCCTATTTCCCATAAGGTAAGCACAAACAATTCGAACAATACAATACCAAATACTACGATTTGTTAAACATTCCTCAATCTATTCATACAAGATAGTCGGTTACGAGTGGGTAGGTAGTTTTAACTAGCCCCTTTTCAGCGCGTCATGTATATATTTTGGTTGACGTACGTACGTCTGCGGAGGCCCTACTGACATTTTCACTCATTCATATCTATTCTTGTACTATGCTTCATTCATGCAACCATTATTGTCACCATTTGTTGTAATTAAAACATTTAGTATATCTATTTATATACTAGCATACAGGTAGAAATTCTAAAATATCTTATTTGGTTTCTATTGCTCTTATTTAAACGGTGTTTTACAGTTGAATTTGAAAGTTGTAATAATAAAATATAAAAAATATTTGATATCGTAATTCATGGATAAACAATAAAACAAATAAAGTACATACTTTTTTTATTAAGACTAATTGAAAATATTTTATTTTTCCAAAATATATTGGGAATTTTTGTCTGTCATTTACAAGATACGAAACCATAGATTAACTAACTATGTTACGTACGAAATCCTAGAAAGAGAATGCCATAGAACTGCTATGAGCGTATGTATTATGTAATAGCAGTGGAATGACGTCATTGAGAAAACGAAAAAAATAAAATATGTATATCACAACAAATGATAGTAAATATAATGCTAAGTACATAAAACCTCACTTTTTTAATCTAGGTTTAAAATTTATAGAGATATCATGGTTTTTAAATAAAATAATTGATCACCTAACTCTATAATTGTAATATTAAATCTTACATACTTTGTGAAATGTTACGTTTTCTTGTAGATTAAAAAAATACAAAAATGTAGTTTGTTTTTAACATATATGTTGAAAGATTAACTATATCTGCAATACTATAATGTAAAATACGAATAATTTTTAAGAATTTTTTTTTCTCTTAAGTAATTTAACAACGCTTTAAACATTTGCAAATTTTAAAATAGTTTTCTGAAAATTGTCAAGACAGAATTGTCATCATAATTAATTAACGGGTATTTAATAAACAATGTTTGTTGTTTTGACTTCATCCGGGACTTCTCATTATTATGTTCATAATATTTTTCAGGCCGAGTACGGTATTTAAACTGTAATCTAAGACCGTAGTGTCGTTTCATATTTCTCTTAGATAACGTTATAAATATAAAAAAAATGTAAATAGAATTATTTGGACGTTATTCTTTTTGACTTAGTTTGAATATATATTGAGATATATTTTAACTGATATTAGCAAAGTCGTGGGTTTATATAAATATGTATTTTTAGTTAAGATCAAATAACAGTATAGATCTGCTTGTAGACTTACTAAAACCTCTCAATTCAAACAGAGATTCTGTAAGACTTTGTTTCCAAATAATCCGATTAAAATCTCCGCGGGACATAATGTAACATAAATAAATACAAATATAAGTAGGGAAAGAATGAATCGTCACGAGTTCTATAAATACAATTCTTGTCCTTACACCATTTAAGTACTTACTTAAGAGACAGATATAAAATTCTGTCTTCTTGCCTCGGTTAAGCTTTAAATGTCCTAAGTAAGAATTCGTTTATTTTCCTTTCGCTACTGAAAGATTTCTTTATTTCTTTTAAAACACTTCATTTAAATATAAGTTGTTGGAACCTAAACACTTTATTACTAACACATAATATAAATGCCAAAGTCTTTTTATTCACTCTGTCCTTTTAGTAATTTATGAAACAATAGCTTTCCTGATGTTGTCGATATCCATGGGTATTTCGCGGATCATTTGTCCCTCTTAACAATAAATTACTGAAGATTTAGTTGAAAAATCTTGAGAAAATTAGTAAGATACCATCCGGGTGCAAACATGCATATACATATCTAAATCTAAACTAATATTATAGAGAGGAAAGATTTGTTTGTTTGTTTGTAAACTAATTCAAAAGCTACTTAATCAATTATAAAATTCTTTTAATTATAGAAAGTAACATTATCAGTGAATAACATACCATAATATCATCATATCGGCCAATTAACTGTCCAATGCTGAACGGTCATGAACAATTTAGTCGACAACCACAGTTAAGCTTTTTATGTTTGTTTTAGTTATACTATACATTGTTTTTAAAAATTTGGATTCGTATATTCGATTAGAAATTATGAAGGATATGTCGTTTAAGAAGTTATAACGTAATATATAGTTATAATGAAGTAAAGTATAATATAATATAAAAATGCCAAAACTAAAGAAGATTTTTGTTATCTTTTATTGCTGCAAATCAAGTACTAGTTTAAAATATCAATTTATTTTTCTATTTACCCATATGAAGTCGGTGCGAGACGCCTGTAAATTATATAAATATATTTTGTTCATAAATCATTATATCTATTAGTGAAAGTTGTATCAAATTCCTAAATTCTTTTCATATTGACAGACGAATGCATAGGGAAACTATATTTTGTATTACGAAGAATAATTTATTTCCAAATCTAAATTATGTTGGTATAATCGTAGTTGTTGTGGGTAGCATGTGCAAGATCTTATCGTCATTGGTCAAGCAAATTGCGTTCCCTAAATAAGGTCCCGTGTTCTCTTCCCTCACAATTGATTAGGAAACTTTTCTAAATTGTCTTCGCTTTGATCTGGCTTATGTCCTCAGAAGTTTATTGTCTATATCAGCCCTTATAGGTAGTTGCAAGAAGTTCCGATTAGCAGACCCTAAAATTTGTACAATAACTAGTACTATCTATTCTGTTAGTTACTTTGCTCTATTGTTAAGTTATTCCTAAGAAAAAAATTGTTTCAATGGTTTATACACAACTAGCTTTTATTCGCGACTTCGTCCACATGATCGGAATATTTCGAGAAATCAGAGAATTTCAGAATAAATAGTAGTTTGTCCTCCTCCATCGCATACAGCGTGTATACCAAATTTCATGATGATTGGTTGAACTAAAAAAGTTAAAACCAACAAACAAATAAACAATTTTTTTTATAATATTAGTGAAAGGAGTAAGGATATAAGGTCATTAAATTTTTTAGTGATGATATAAAATTAGAAAACAAAATAGGTCATTTGTGAATCTGTTGATGCAATGGATTGGTCGCTGTTGGTATAAAGATCTTTCCAACGAAAAGGCTTATAACGTAAATGTCAATAGATTCTCAAATATATATCCTTCCTTTAATGGCGTAAGTGGAGAAAGTATTTATAGGCACATTTCAAACCATTGAAGATGATACATTCTATATATGGTATTTTACATATTTGGGGCTTTGATATGTGCACACCATATATTTATTGCCAAAATGCCAGCTGTGTAACTCGCGGTTTTATTCGAGTGAATGTGAAAATTATATTAAAATATTAAAACAAACGAAGTTTTTTTTTTTAATTAGCGAAGATATCGCGTAACATACACTCAGAAAAAAATTACAGGTCAATTGAAAATTAAGTTCAAATACCCTTTGAGTTTAAAAACTCAGAAAGAATTAGCTAATTGCAATGTACTTGGATAATACTTGTATACCTCTCGGCTTCACAATACACTGTTATAGAAATAACTTTATTAATAAAAAAAAAAAGAAGCAAATAATTATTACTTGTACATACATATCTATCACGCCTGTCTCATATTAGGGTAGGTAGAAACAATGGAACGCCAAATGCTTGGATCAAACAAGCCTTGTATTATTAATAAATCTGAGATTAAACATCAGGAAAATGTTAAGTTAAATAAAAAAGTAAGATATACATAAAGTGCATTTAGTTATTCTTGATAAGTTTTATTAAGAACTGTTGCAATAAACACGATGAATTCGTGCAGCGAACTATATGAGAAAACTTTTGTTTGATCATGAAATAGCTTCGATTTATAACCGAAGCGCGCAGTTAACATTTGTATGGAATGGAATTTGCCCAGTAAACACTACAGAAGTTTTCAACGCATCTCACTTCACAGCTTGGAATAAGAAAATTTGCCAATTTATTTATTTCAAAATAACAACATGCTGAATCCTAATACGATTGGCTGTCTGGAATAAGATTATTTTATTTCGTTTCCACAAACAGCAATTTTAGCGTATCTAAAATTAGTTTTGGAAGATTCGAGAATTCATCGTTTTTTGACCAAATAAGTAGTGTCTGCCAGAGTGAAGCGTTATTTGATCGAAATGTCAAGAACTGTGAAAGATTCGTAAAAATAATTTTAGTTGAAGTTGTAATAAATGTTTTTAATCTTAAAAGAGAATTTTAATTCTGAATCGTGTCTTAACTTGCGTAACAGATTATAATGTCATCTTCGTTGAGTGATTAGTTTTTTATTAGTATTATCATCATCATCCTTACAACTCATCATCGATTCAT